TGTAAGAAGTATACTTCACTTTTTTTTCTTCCCGTAACCAAAATAATTTTCCTTGTGCCGTCAAATTCGTTTACTCGATCCCGTTTTATTTTATTCGGCATATTTCTGTTAACGTTTAAACACTCATACACGGCTTTTAAGTTGTTGAATACACAAGTTACCGTCACAAATTACTGGTTAAATATCCTCTGTGTCCAAGTACGCGTGTTTCTATCGAGATACACATGTTCAGATCACGTGCGAAACATGTTCAGATCACGTCAGAAACAAGCCTGCCTGCGAGCAGCCTTTGTGGGGCTAAGTTACCGACACTAAAAGGAGGTAACACAAGATATAATCAAGTCAACATACCGTATATACTAAGAAACTGGAATTTAAAAGTTGTAGTGGTAGTTATGCTCTATATCGTAAGCCTACAAGGGTCTTATGTAGAAATTAATATTGGTCCCCTGTTCAAAACCATTCGAGGATCATTATTTAAAAATTTAGACACCCCATAGTGGTCCTGTAAGGTAAACCTTTAAAGGTCCTACATAAAAATAAATATTTGGTCAGAATGTAAAGCAATTCTAAATAGGATCTATCATTAGAGAACTTACACACCTCAGTCTCGGTCCGATATCGAAAGCCATTCTAAGACCATTTTCTAGAAATATATAAAACCAGTATAGACTTGCAATAAAGGACCGGTTTTGTTGTTGTTGACGTATGCCTGTTTTAGGCAGAGGGGTGCGATTGTTCTTGTTTTCCACTGGCGCCATCTATGGCCAAGAATTCGACTTCTGCCACACCATATGTCGCACCCGTTTTTAGGGCGGACCCATTCATTCATCCACAGATCGTAATTTTGACCTGAATCAGAGAACGATCGATCTCCAATCCAGTACCTCCAGAGGTAATGATTTGCTATGGGAACATGGAGGACTTTTGCGACTCGACAGATTTAACGTGCATCAGTCACTTTACCACACGGGGAGTCTTCGGCCGGCGGGCCGGAACCCACGAACTCTCGGACATGGGCCCAACGCCCTACCAACCAGGCTATCCTGGCCCTAACTAGTTTTATATTTTCATCTATTGAACCTAGAGAGACTTAAATTTTTTTTATAATATCCAGTTCTATATCTAGTTCCTTAAAAAGTGATTTAAAATACAAACAAATCTACCTATAACAGATTTTTTCTTTTTTGCTCATGAGACATTTCTGTTTATTTCACAATAGTCCAAGTGCAATAGTATAAACATTCACTTTTTGAAGAGAAATATCTTGTCCATTAAACTTCTGACAGTTCATATAAAATTTTGGTAAATGTGTACAGGATTGGAAGAAAATTTTGGTTTAGGATTATTTATTATGAAATAAGAAAACCACTGCGTAAATGCTTTGTCCTAAAACTCTTAACAGATCCAAATATCTCGAAAATGAGTTAATTAATGGAGCAATTAAACACGCATATTTTAAAAAGGAAAATTTGCTTTTACTCATAAGGCTTTTGGAGGTTTGGAGTAGAAAATTAAGCGATGTTAGGAGCCTTAAAAATTTATTCTTATTCTTCATAATGCAGGATGTTAAAAAATAGATTGAGAAAAGCGTTTATTATTTACTTTTAAGGTTTTACTTAACGGATATAAAATATCGGATTAATTGGCCAATTTTAAATTGGGTCTACATTGGATGAATAACGTCTTTGAAATATCGGGTGGATCGTACAATTCAATATATGGCCTATATTGGTTGAGTAACTGCTATAAGATCAGGGCCGGATTTAAGCTTGGTGGGGCCCTAAGCTACTGAAAATGATGGGGCCCTTATAAGTTCAATTCCATTTCTATGCACCTAAAGTAAACTGCCACTATTTTTTATCGTTGAGTATTAACATTATATTATTAAAAAATTTGGTAATATTACTTTATTGTTAAATATATTAATTGTGATGAGACAATTATGTAGAACCTTTCTTTTATTGCACATATTTTTTGAACGAGGGGAAAAAGTTACAAAAGAAACACATTTTAAGCACAGAGTAAAAATGTGGCGTGCTGGGCCACTATATATTTAACAGAGTTTTTTTTTTTTTAGATTCATTTTGAATATATTTTATTTGTAATTTTTAATGATTTTTTCGCGAATTTTTTTTTCAATTGTATTTTTTTTACGTTACAAAATCTATAATACTTAGAAACATAAAATTTTGAATGTGCGTAGAAAATATGCAAAGAGTTAGAAAGAAAACAAGAAAATACAATTTGATTATTAGTTTTATTTTTTTTATAACCGCCGTTAAACAACCGACTCAATTTTGAGTTTACGCCCCATCAACCAGGCTATCCCGGCCAAACTTATTAGTTTATTTTATAACAGTCATTGCACAGCCGACCCAATTTCGAGTTTACGACTACTAATATTCAACTCCGTAGCCTTGTCATTTTGAATCCAATCCAAAAGACAAGGGAACTGCTAGATTAGTACCCAGATATATTTATTTGTTATGAGAACTTGGAGGACTTTGTGACCCCGACAGATTTAACATGCACCAGTCACCATTTTATACATGGGTATTCTTCTGCCGGCTGGATTCAAACTCCCATTCTCACAAACACGAGTCCAACGCCCTATCACCCAGGCTATCAGGGCCAAATTTATTAGTTTATTTTATAACAATCATTGCACAGCCGACCCAATTTCGAGTTTACGACTACTAATATTCAACTCCGTAGCCTTGTCATTTTGAACCCAATCCAGCAGTCTCTGGAGCAGGTGAGGGCCGTTATATTAATACTGTTTGTAAAAATAAAAAGAACCTTTCGTAAGCTGATATTATTTAATTGATGTTTATATTAAAAATATTTCTTCATTATTTTTGCTTTATTTTTAATTATTTAAAGAACATTAGTTAAATTTTAGTGCAAGAAATTTTTTTTTCATTATTTATGTAAATTTTTGGCTTATATTTTTAAAGATTTATTGAAGAGTCTATTAAATATCAGAGAGTATAAATGTCATACGGGTTTGAAGTATCAGCTCTGCTCTTGATGGTGTATAGTGGCTAGGATGTGAAAGAGCAACTGTCCCGGTCATTCCGCCAAAACGAGCATTCAACATATCAATGGAACACGCCAAAGCTTTATATCAATTAGCAATTAGTTTTAGATAATTACAATTGTAGAATAATTATCTTATTATAGAATGAAATGTTTTAAAAGACAAATATCTGTTAATGTTTAACATTTAATCAACGAAAAAACAGAACCAATATTGAAATCTAACGAATTTATTATTTTTAATTACTGATAAAGTTTGTGACAGAAAAAAAAAATAAAGCCTGATAGATTTCAGAATTTTAGAAACACCTTCTAGTTATACTATTCAATCAAATAGGTTTCGATGTCTTTCATCCCGGTCTCATTAGTGATTCAGCATATTTCGATATCATTTTTGTTTCGTTCTTACTTAATATTAATTTGTTTGCGACAGTTAATTTGTATACCTCTTTTACTACATTTTCGAGGAGTTTAAAAATATAATATTGAGGATTTTAACTGAAATGAAATTTGCTTTTTTTGTATGCCTCTTTTATTACGTCATCATCACACCCACACGCAACTGTCTACTCTAAATAATGCTATATAGAATGAGATAGCAAAACAAACGTGTGTAGTTATTTAAATTCTTATTCAAAAGTATTAGTTAATTTTTTTTTTTTGAAACTGACAATTTCTGTACTTTTTTAGATATTTTAAAGTGCTATTTAAAACTGCTGCATATCACATGACAGCATTAAATACATCATTTGTACAATTTTAAAGTAAAATAAAAGGGAATTCTGATCCTTAAAAACAGATATTAAATAGTCTGATGATCGAATGATGGGGCAAAAAAAAAAATTTTTACCTTTTAAACTAAAAAATTGTTTATTTATAAATAATTTGTTAATACTCAAATTGCTTGAAAGATGATATGTTCCCTACTAATGACAACGAAGTTTTTTGTTTTATTCAGTCATTTATTTATATTTATTATGTCCGACAATGTAAAAAAAAAAAAAAAATGCATTTTCGGCTTCTGAGGGCCCCAGCTCCGAATAAAACTTTAAAAAAAGAGGGTGGGGAAAGTAGGATCTGGGGGCCCTTGTCATCTCGGGAGCCCCAAGCTACAGCTTAGTTAGCTTATACGTAAATCTGGCCTTGTATGAGATATTGGGTCAATCGGACAATTTTAAGTGGGGTTTATATTGACTAAATAACAGCTTTAAAGCATCAGTTGAGCCGGATACTGCTACATCGAACCGACAACGGCTGAATAACTGCTATAAAATATTGGATGATCTTAACAAATCTATTACATTGGGTCAATATTGTGTAAATACGGGAAATAAAATATCGGGGGAATTTGACAATATATAGGGTAAACTCTGTCTGAATAGTGGCTATGAAATATCTGGTGAACTTAACAGATCTGCATAGGGCAGATATTGGGTAAGTAAGGGAAATAAAATAGCGGGTGAATTTGACAATTTTGAATATGATAAACTTTGGCTGAATAGTGGCTATGAAATATCGGGTGAACTTAACAAATCTGCATACGGCAGATATTGTGTAAATAAGGGAAATGAAATATCGGGAGAATTTGACAATTTTATATAGGGTAAACTTTGGCTGAATAGTGGCTATGAAATATCGGGTGAACTTAACAAATCTGCATAGGGCAGATATTGTGTAAATAAGGGAAATAAAATATCGGGTGAAAGTGACAATTATATATAGTGTAAACATCTGCTGAATAGTGACAAGAAAATATCAGGTGAATCGAACATTTCTATATCAGTTCAATATTGGCCCTTTAAAATCTTGTTGAGGCAAGATTGGTGAATATTGGCCCAATAAGTTTCCAAGTTATTTTACTGCTAGGGTCTTTTCTTTTTTTCGCACATGGTTTAGAACTAATTGTATATATTTTTTAAATTAACAGTCTTAGTTTTAATAACATTTTCCATTTAAAGATGATTATGATCCAATTAATTTCCCGATGGAAAATCCAGACTTATTTGGAGGAGACATGCTGGGATTTGATTCCGAGGTATTTTCTTTTAATTATTTATTCACTAACTTTCTATTTGTAAAAAAAAAATTTATTTAAAAAAATCTATTAAATTATCATTTATTTTATACTTATATCTAATAAAAAATAAATAAATTCATCAACTCTGCATACTTTAAATTAAAAATGGCGTTGAGCAAATCGGTGGCAATGTTCAACTTTGTAGTCTTGTTTTTGCACCCAACCCAGAAGACAAAAATTTGGACAAATTAGCTTCTGTGTTCTTTCCCCCCTATTTCCAACGACGGTTTTCTGATTTAAATTTAGAAACTGGAAACGTGTTTTAATAAATGAATTATAATTTTGCCTGTAAGTATTTGAAGCTAAACAGGAAGAAAAAAAACTGTAAATAAATGCTAATGAAATTCGTAGAAGTAATCAAACAATGTCATTCAACAGATGCGAAAAGATAATTTGTTAAATGTCATTTGTTTCGCTTGTGAATTTAATTTCAGATTGAATGAATTTCATCATAGCAAAAATTCTCTCGGGAGTTTTGAAAAAATAAAATAAATATAAAAGTTTCTGATACTTTAAACGAAACCTACTAGAAAAAATACAACAATCGAAGAGCAATGACAAAATAATTAGCAAAAATAATAATAATAATAATTCCCCCCCCCCCTTTGACTATCAGGTTTAACCCTTTCTGGGACGGCAGACAAAATGTTTCACCATTCCCACATACTCCGAGCTAGTACGTATTTAGTACGCATGAGTACAGTACTAAAACGAATGTAATTGAGTACCGTATTGATATCACGTCAGTGTGAACTTGGGCCTCTAGGGTACGGAAGGCTCGTTTCACATATGATGTTGTGATCCCTAAATATTATAATTATAACATTATAACCATCGTAAAACAATTGACCTTTTTTGGGGGGATTACGACTAATGATGTTCAATTCCGCAGCCTTGTAATTTTGAACCCAATCCTGAAGACAAGGAAACTCATGGATTAAGTATTTGGAGAATTTTGAGAACTTTTTTGATGGAACTTCACCCCCATTTTCATTACACGAAGAGAAAAAACCACGAAAATCTCTCACGGTTAGCCTGACGGCAGAGGGACTCTAACCCATGATCCGTCTGCCACTGAGGATATTTTACATCAGCATTGTGGTCAGTGCAAGCCGGATGCGGAATTCGTATAGACCAGCCATTGCTGGGATTCGAACCCAGTTCGCCTCATTGGAAATGGAACCCTCTATCCCCTGAGCCATCACGGTTCTTTTACCGGCTATTTAATAATTTTATAATTTTTGCGTGTGATGTAATAGATAATGAGGGAAAACTACAGTTTGTCTATTAAAAGAACTCCCCTCGACACGAAATCAAAAGCCATCTGCTGCTAGGGAAACAAGAAATGGTGCATTTCAAACAGGGAATCTTCTTTATCCCCTAATTCCCTTTCTTTCATTAACCCAAGTAAAAGCCTGTCTTAAATATTGACCTAACATCCCTACTACAAATAGTCAAACTTCGTTACCATAGTCACCGCCACTTCTTTAGACGAATGGCGGAGGGGAGTTCTCTCCATAGACAGACTACAGTTACATTTTTCCTAACATAAAACTTAAGCACATGGATTTTAGTGCGGGATTCTATACTCTCTCAATTTTCTAATATATCTAATTAAAGAGCTTATTTTTCCCACCCTAATTGATATTTTCTGTGCCTCACTCAATCATGTACGCCATGTTATTAAAGGTCTTCATCAGGACACATCCTTTATGATAAATGCGATATTTCTGAATAAGGAATAATTATCCTAATTTAAAAATTACTCTTTAGAATATATTTATATATATATATTTAAGGATCGTAGTGCCATAGTGGACAACAGGCAGTTATGGGAAAGGGGTGTCGTTCCATTTGTTGAGGATCCTGGTTTGAATAAAACAGTCAGTAAGTAACATTATTTTTCTTCTTTCAAAATCATTTAATTATTGTTAAAACATAAATGCAATAATTTAAATAATTCCATCAGCTTTTTAAGATGCATTTGTTTGACTCATTTTCCCCTAATATGAAATTTGCATTTAGGGCATGTAAACTCCTTGGAAACAGTTGACATAACCGGCATAATATAAATAATCCCTAGAAACTGAAGAGAAGAAATAGACTATCTTCATAATTGAAGAGTACCGACATTTTTTCGAGTGCCATAAACAAGGCTCTCATTCTCAAGACACAAAGAAAAAAGATATGAAAAGAAACACGGGAATGAATGCCATAGGCCTAGTAAAATAAGAAGCTGAAGAAAGATTATGAAACCCATTTCCATGCATCATGGTTAAGCGAGGTTCTACCTGCATTTACCTTTCTCCAGACTGCAGTACTTTTTCTACTCTCCTTTTGTAAACTTTTCCCCTGCTTACGGAAGCAGGTTACAAAAATCTGTCTTTTACTAAGTATTTTAGCGCATGTAATGTATGTTAAAAAAGAAAATGGTAATCAAAAAACAAAACGCGTAAAAAATCGGTAGAAGAGGGGAGCGTTGGTGGTGGAAGGGGACAAGTCAGAGTAGGTTGCATTTTCATGCGGAATGTAGAGCTGGAGAAACAAAGATTGGTGGGAACTTGGGCATAAACTTTAAGAGTGCAAAATTTACTTTCCCCGTCAGCTCATTTTATACACTTGAGTTTGGTTTCATTCCTATAAATGCTGATTACCATAATAACATCAGTTACGACCTAACCTTACAATTAGCATGAACATGTATCCTGCCCGCATTTGATCACCCTGAAAAGCAACCGAGGGTGAGCGGTATAGATCCTCGTTAAACTATTCTAAAAAGTACTTGACTTCACGCAGATATCGTCGGACCACAAAAGTAAGGGAGTTTAGCCCTCTGCAGAAGATCAAAATTGTGATCGCATGTTCTCGGATTAATGACCGGACCTTTTGCTCATTGCGCAGTTTTGGTGTGACGTAAATAAAGTACTACTACAACTTGTCTAAATTTGCCGGCCTCGGCCACCGTTGTTCTTATCAGGTATCTTATAATTGGGTATAATATAAAAAAAACACAACTACTTCCACTTAGTAGGAATAACATTTACCATGACGCAATGCTAAATTCTATGCCACTATCCACATAAATGCCACTATCCACATAAATCAATTATTAATCAAAAATCGAATATCAATTACTTTTCTTTATAATGCAATAAAATCTGGCGAGCAGCTATTTAAACGATCAAACACTTCGTTTGTTTATTTGTGGCTTGAAGTTAGGCTCGCAGAAAATACCGTTCATGGGTTAAATTTAGTAGGCTATAGTATACCCAATTTGACCAAATTTTTAGACGCATTGTAGTGTTTTAATAATTGCACGTTTTGCTCGAGTTTATACGCAATACTTTTACATTTAAACCCACATATGTAATGGATGATGATGACAAAGTTTATCTACCTAATATTTTTAATAAAGCAAAAACTGGCCTCTATTGTGTTTTGAAAATGAATGTAACTTTATTTTGTTAACCGATGTTTTCTAGTCAGATGGATTCTTCAAAAAGCTTTTGATCAATACCAAAAAAACACCTGCATCAAGTTTGTTCCCAGAACTACAGAGAAAGACTACATTCGACTCTTTCCCGGACAAGGGTGAGACCGTAATATTAATTGCAACATTATTCATTACGTTTTTCTTAAAAAGAAAAAAAAATTAAAACCAAAAAAGCACACGACAATTTCTAACGAACAATTATTGGAGTCGACTAAATTCACTAAAGTGAAAGATAGAAAGAAAGCGAAACATAAAATCACTAAAAAAATAATTTTATTTGAGAATAAACGGAAAAGAGGAGTCTTAAAAAGTCGTTTGCATTCTAGCGTTCTTAAAACGGTTTTTAACTCATACTCAGTGCTGTGATTGATTCTGATAACTTCTTCTTCTTAATATTGTTGGACTTTAATTTTAATAAGGTTTCAAATTGTTGAGACTTGATGTTTTTTTTAAATAAGAAATACAGTTTAAAAAATATTGCAAAAAAGAAGAAAAAAAATATATCACTTAATACAAGTTTAATAAAATCTGTCAAGGTTATATGATTGCACATGACGATTTTGGCAATAGCGCAGTCAAAACTTTGTAGAAGAAACATTTAGTTATTCTTGTAATCTTCAGGCAAATTGAAAACAGTTGCCATTTATCTGACAGAGGCGAATTGCGAAGTTAACGACAACGTTTTAAATTAACATTAATAGGCAGCACAGCAAGTGCAAAAGTTTAGTCATTAATTCTATTTTCTGGAGAAAAAATGGACAATTTAAGTTCATTTTGGCATTTTCAGTTTTTTAGGGAAGAATTCGAAAAAAATTTTTTTTAATGTATATTTATCGGTAAACGGTAGGACGAATTTTTTTCTTCTTCTGGCAAGCGAAAATGTTATCTCTTCGAATAAGCTAACAATAAAAATATAGTTAATCAAAAAAAAGGAAGAAAGTTTTCTGAAACATTTCTCAAGCGTTATAAATAAAATAAATTAAAATTCTTTTTTAACTTTCAGACCTTGAACTTTTCAAGAATGAAACTTTCCGATTTGAAATATTCATTTCGATTATAAAATATTCATATGCGTTTATAAGATTAAAAATTAGGGGCAAACAAAAACTCTTCGAAAAATGAATAGTAGAAAAACGGAATATTTTGATTTGAAAAACGAGGTACAGTTCGTCTGTAGAAAAAACTCCTCTTGCCACGAAGTCTAAGGCCGTCTGCTGAAATAAGAAGTAGCGCATTTCAAAGAGAAGAGCTGTGAATTCGTCAGCGCTGCTACCCAGGGCCTGATTATCGCCTAGGCCCAATAGGCGCGGGCCTAGGGCGCCCTCACATACTGAAAGAAACAGTTTATCTCAAAAAAGACATTTTTTATTTCAAATTTTCTTTATATTGTGATAACTTAAACTCGTGTAAACATTCCACTAATCAATTTCGAAAGTACAACTGAATTTTTATTGGTGCAATTTTTACTCCAACGGCTTAAGCAAATGCAACGAGAATGCATATTCATAAAGTCTTTTATAAATGATTAGTGTCAACAAGAACTTAAATGCGAAGCTGTAGATGGAAGGCTGCAATCTTTAAAATAATTAAGCTAATCAGTGACTTTAGCAAAAATCACTGATTTCAATTGTTTATGGTCACCAAGCTATTTTTATTTTCATTCAACATTGTTTTGTTGTTTTATATTTTGCTTTAATAATTACATGTTTAAACTTTATCTTAGAAAAATAATCTTCAATTGTCTATTTTTTAGAATGTTTCTCTTGAATCATGCAGTTCAATAGATTCTTTTTATAGTTAGGACTACTCCTCAGAAATTTAATTTCAAAATATTTCGTTAGGGGCCCCGAAAATTTTGTGGGCCTTGGGCCTGAATTTGTCTCGACCGGTCCCTGCTGCTACCTAGAAACACTATAAAATAAGACTTTTAGAAAAATATTTCAATAACTCTAAGGACATGCACTGCAGTAACAGACACGCCTGAAATATTACAGTTAGAATGATCTGACTAGAAATTAGTTTTAACTGTGGTATTAAAAAACTCTTTTTTTGTTTGTTTTTGCAGGTGTTATTCGAATGTTGGCAAAACAGGGGGTGCGCAACCCGTTTCGTTGGGAGAAAATTGCGGATGGGAAGGAGCGATTGTTCACGAGCTGGGGCATGCCATTGGATTTTATCACGAGCAAAACAGATCTGATAGAGATAAGTACATAAGAATTCTGTGGCAGAACATCAGAACAGGTACTCAGTGAAGGGATTTCTAAAATTTCAAACAAACGGTTGAAAAAAACCAAAGGTTAAAAACATCTCGAACCAAACGTTAAAAACGTCTCAAAATTATTAGTGTCTGTTTGATTATTGGAATACGATTAAAATAAATGATAATCTGGTACTTGAAGAGGAATAAAACATCGCTAAAGAAGTTTATTATTTTGCTTTCAATGTAGGATATGCGCTAAAAATTATACTGAAAACGCGTGAGGATAAAAAAAAATTAATAAAAAATAAAAAAATCGTGATCACCTTATTACGATTACTGTTACCCATTGGTCAATTTTTTGTTCTGGTTTGACTCTGATAAACGCCCCAACATTTCAAATCATGGGTTGCAAAAACTGTCTCAATGGATGTCTGTCGTCCGATTGGTTTTCAAATCCTGCCTGTGTACGTGTTTCAAGACGTCACAAAATACTTTTCCTTCTTTAGTATTCATATTTATATTAAAATCACAGTCAAGCCAGTAATTATAAGTTAATGATAAAAAGAATAAAAAAAAAAAAAAAAACAATAGTGCGTGGAGTCCCTCCGCACGGAAGAAGTGAAACTTCGTAAGTGGAAATGAAAATAGGAAGGGGTAGAAATTGATTTTGTTTCTTTTAGACAAACTTTATTAACATTGCTTACAATTCACAATTGATCGCATCTTTTAATTATCACTTTCGAGTTAAGAAATATCCAAATCTATAACATTTACAATGGGATTATGATAACTAAAGTAAGATACGAAATGTTTGAGTTCTATTTTTTCAATATTTCTCGCAAAAACTGCATCAATGGTAGTTCCTCCTGTGGGATCATTCCTACCATTTATCATTTCCAATCCAAATTTGTCTTTAAGGAAGGTTAATAATGTTTCAGGTAACGAGAAATTCACATTAAAATTTCCTGCAAGGATCACAGGCCTCTCGTTACCATGGTAGCGTTAAACGTTTAATGCAACCTTGTTGGAAGTCGCTTTAGAAGTTTCACTTCAATAATTTAAATTATTATTATGTAATTACATTATGAATGATTGCTGGTGAAAATAAAAAGAATTCTAAAAAAATTTCAAACAGCAGCGGTCGCCGTTGCAACGCATACAATGACGACGCATGCGCACTGCTTACTATTACTCTTGAATACAGTTGAAAAGTGTGATGACGTCCAAATAAAGTGCGCACGCCATGAAACACAAAACAAGACCCAATTTGCCAATGGGTAATAAACAAACATTGAAACACAATTATTGTTATTTTTTAAAAGTAACTAAAAAAGAATTTCACTGAAATACTTTCAAACCGAAATCAATTTATTTAGAAGGAAACCTACTCCCTAAACAGCAAAAGTTTTTAATGTATCAGAACTCTAAAACTGGTTGCAACTACTTCATAACAAAGCAAAATGGCATACACATGTCTTCGATCTAGGTGTTTAACTATACCCAAAACCAAGGATAGTTCTGGGTGTAGTGAAACGCAAAGAGTGTTTTTTAAAACTGCTCGGTGTAAAGTGGCCGCCACTATTTTTGCTCTCTAGTAACACTAAAACTTACAGTCCGTGGCCAAATTATTAGACAAACTATAAGATTCTATGAAAAATCTTAATTATCAGGTGGTACTATACGGCTTTATTGCTTTTACGCGACTGAAACTGGTTTGCACTTGTTTACGTTCGTGTATCAATGGGTTAGCATTGTAATGCAATACGTTAAAAATAAATACAAATGGAAAGTATGTAAAATTCTCCTGAATAAAAACTCATTACTTGTACGTTTAAAATAAGATAAAAATAATATAAAAGTATTGCGTATAAACTCGAGTAAAACATGCAATTATTAAAACACTACAGTGCGTCTAATAATTTGATCTAATTATTATAATATACTAATATAATACCTGATATAATAAAAATTCTATATTTATATAATATATCGTCTAATTTATCCAATCATCGAATTTATATTATATATTGTCTAATTTAACCAATTGATACACGAACGTAAACAAGTGCAATCATTTTTCGGTCTCGTAAAAACAATAAAGCTGTATAGTATCACCAGATAATTTATTATGTCCTCTGATACCTGATATAATAAATATTCTATGTTTATATAATATATCGTCTAATTTATCCAATCATCGAATTTATATTATATATTGTCTAATTTAACCAATTGATACACGAACGTAAACAAGTGCAATCATTTTTCGGTCTCGTAAAAACAATAAAGCTGTATAGTATCACCAGATAATTTATTATGTCCTCTGATACCTGATATAATAAATATTCTATGTTTATATAATATATCGTCTAATTTATCCAATCATCGAATTTATATTATATATTGTCTAATTTAACCAATTGATACACGAACGTAAACAAGTGCAATCATTTTTCGGTCTCGTAAAAACAATAAAGCTGTATAGTATCACCAGATAATTTATTATGTCCTCTGATACCTGATATAATAAATATTCTATGTTTATATAATATATCGTCTAATTTATCCAATCATCGAATTTATATTATATATTGTCTAATTTAACCAATTGATACACGAACGTAAACAAGTGCAATCATTTTTCGGTCTCGTAAAAACAATAAAGCTGTATAGTATCACCAGATAATTTATTATGTCCTCTGATACCTGATATAATAAATATTCTATGTTTATATAATATATCGTCTAATTTATCCAATCATCGAATTTATATTATATATTGTCTAATTTAACCAATTGATACACGAACGTAAACAAGTGCAATNGCTGAAACTGCGTATGATATTTGCATTTGTAACGTCAATGCTCGTCACACGTGACATTTGGACAAACGCACATATGCATATGACTTATAAACTGCGCTGTGTTCGTGCCACTGCGCGGTGGTACGTAAATACTTGTTTCACCTCAATAAATATACGTTTATTAATTTATGTTTTATAAAGAAACTGATATTGAGTCAATTATAAAAAAAATTCACACATTTTTCATTCTTAATTAGGTATGTGTGATTTGCGTATTGAGAACTGTTTTTATTTTCGACCCACAATCGACCCTTCCGATTCGGATCGACCCCCATTCGCCCCCTTGTCTCAGATCGACCCCCACTTTTGTTACATAGACCCCTGGGGGTCTATATAGACCACTTTGGCGACCTCTGGTGTAGCGAAACACTAAGAGTGCTCTTAAAAACTACTCGGTTTAAAGTGTATGCCACAATTTTTGTTCTCTAGTAACACTAAAACTTATCATTACAGTAAGATATTATCAGGGCCCCACTTCGCCTAATTGGAGTCCGGGCAAAAACTTCCTTGGGGGGCCCCTCTCTTCTTCACTACTTCAGTAATGAAGAACAGAACTTTATGGAGGTATTTAAATTTTTCACCTCATTATATAGATAGCAAGAAAATTGATTAGAACCTAAAATAGTTATTAAGCCCCCCCCCTCCCCTGATGTTCAGACGAAAACTCGCTATGTCCATTTTATTGATTTTCGGACAATCCTATGTCCATCATGCTGAATACAGTTCTCTGATTGTTAACTTTGTCATCTAGCTGCGAAAAATTCATATCCATGCTGAAATTAAGGCGGAATTCATCGAAATTTTCGTTATTAAGATGGCTCAATTAAGCCAGTCAGAAGCCTATATTTTTGTAAAGATATCGCATTTTGCGATACGTAAAAATACAGGCTTTTGATTGATAAGTGTATCAATACGCATTTTGCGATTATGCGTATCAATAGTTGTCCAAAGCTAGTTATTTCTTTTGTCTAATTGAATTAAAAAACGCAGTTGCTGTAATCCATGGCGGCATTAAGACCAACAAAGGAGAACGAGATAAAATTATCTTGAAAGATAAATTAACTTCTCTACTATTTTTACAATAATTTTTAATCAAAAATTAAATTTAGTTTTAAATCACTTGAAATTGCAATAACTTTTGAACGAATAAGAATTTAGAAAAAAGCTCGCAAATAAAAAGTTTTTGCGTCAAATTTCAAAATGAGCTCATCTATATTTTCCCGGGCGCAAGAGTTGCTGGAGTGGTAATTTTTACTAACACTTAATAATTTTCGAATTAGTTATTAAAAGTAAATTTTTTTTGTTCCATGCTTTTTCCAACGCGTATTCGAAATTTCTCATTTTTAAGTGTGATGCAGTCAGACAAAGATTATTATTGCATAAATTCAGCTCAATCTGACATATGTGTCGAAAATTTTCAAATAAAAGATGCTTAAAAAATTATGCATAAAAGATTATTTTAAAAAAAACTTTGTACTACGATATTGAACAATTACATCAACAATCAAGTATGCAGGTCACAAGAAATAAAACAACATACCTAGACGGAGAATGAAACTGGACTAATATTTAATTTACAGATAAGAGATTATATTTATGACTGCACTACCGCCATCTATATCAGCCTTTGTGCTGCCATCTATGTACAAACATGTAAAACTAGCAAATTTAACAGATACTATAAAAAAAATTTAATAATTTCCCATTCAGTTGAGTCTGTAATCAAGTAACTGAAAAACAGTTCTTTACTTTTTGTTCTTTGCTGTGTTGGCACAGTTCAGGTTTTTAATTTTTATTGGAAATAAGTTTAGAGTAAAGAAGTCTCCGAATTTTTCTCAATTTTCAGTTTGCTTTTCAAAAATAAAAGGAGAACTTTGGTTTGAAATTATCTGTAAAAATCTGAAAATTTTCTGCAAAAAAATTATCTGCAGCGCCAGATGACGAGCTGGTGGATTTCTGCTGATACAAAGATCATTAAACTCCTGATGATTATTTGCAGGAAAAGAAGATCAGTTCTTCTTATTAAAGCCTCACGAGAATCAGTTATTGACGTCCTTCGATTATGAATCCATCATGTTGTACGGATCCTTGACATTTTCTAAGGACTGGAGGGCGAAATTGAGGACCATGGAAACTTTGGACGGAGGCTGGCTAAAAGATCCCATGTCCAAAGGAAAGCTCAGTCAGAAAGATATTCAAAGAATCAACATGTTATATAAATGTCCTTAGTTGTATAAATGACTTCAATGTGAATGTTTCATGAAACGATAAAGAGTATTTCAGAAGTAGTTTTAATTTTATTTATTTCGCGGTACAATGGGTTATGGGCGACGGTTTGAGAAACATTCTTGAGGATAATCGGGAAATATGACATCACAGATTTGATTCTATCCACAGAGGTGATGGCTCCTCGGCTTTGGTAGACCAACTTTGGGGACCAACAAAGGACCAAAATACGTTTTGTTTGCTTACCGGAAAAGGGTACTTAAAGCTAAATATTTGCGAGAGCTTCATGTGAAGCGTGGCGCAGTAGGTAGATCGCTGCGGACAAGTTAGAGCTGGAGAACTTGGGTTCGATACCCAGCGGTGAAATGAGTTTTTTTCTTTTTATTGTTTATTTTATTTCATATTATTTTTGTAATATGTTTTAGCGTGAATAACATTTTCTTATCATTAAAATTATTATTTTTCTTTTGAAAAACAGCAAATAAAAGCAAAAAAGCGGAAAAATTACGGATAATTTATTTATTTATTTTTTATTATTGTTTTAACAACAAGTTTTTCCATATTTTACCGAAAATAAAGAGTTTTTTTATATAAAAATAAGGATATCTCGGTCTTCAAGCACGAATAATGTCTGAAAAACAGACAAATATGGTCTCTGGAGGCATGCACATGTCACCCCCTTTAACTCCCTTTAATATTAACCTATAATATTCAAACTCTTTCAGATATTTAGGTTCAATGTACCGAAGAATCGCTCCAAAGGAAAGTTTTATAAGTTTATTAGGGGACCAACAAAGGATCAAAATACGTTTTGTTTACTTACCGAAAAAGGGTACTTAAAGCAAAATATTCGCAAAAGCTTCGTGTGAAGCGTGATGTGGTTGCTAGAGTGCTGCGGACAAGTTTGCCCTGGAGAGCCTGGGATCGAAACCCAGCGGCGAATTAAGGTTTTTTTGTTTTTATTGCTTAGTTTATTTCTTATTATTTTTGTAATATGTTTTAGCGTGAATAACATTTTCTTTTTATAAAAATTATTATTTTTCTTTTGAAAAACAGTAAATAATAGCATAAAAGCAGATAAATTACGGATAAGGTATTTATTTATTTTTTAATATTATTTTAACAACAAGTCTTTCCATATTTTACCGAGAATAAAGTGCTTTTTATATAAAAATAAGGATATCTCGGTCTTAAAGAGTGAATAATGTCTGAAAAACAGACAAATATGGTCTCTGGAGGCATGCACATGTCACCCCCTTTAACTCCCTTTAATATTAACCTATAATATTCAAACTCGGTCAGATATTTAGGGTCAATGTTCCAAAGAATCGTACCAAAGGAAAGTTTTATAAGTTTATTAGGGGACCAACAAAGGACCAAAATACGTTTTGTTTACTTACCGGAAAAGGGCACTTTAAGCTAAATATTCGCGAGAGCTTTGTGTGAGGCGTGGCGTGGTTGGTAGAGTGATGCGGACAAGGTAGCCCTGGAGAACCTGGGTTCGAAACCCTGCGGCGATTCGAGATTTTTCATTTTTTTTTCATTTTTTATTTTATTTCATATTAATTTTTTAATGAGTTTTAGCGTGAATAACGTTTTCTTGTTATAAAATTTTTTTTTCTTTCGAAAAACAGCAAATAATAGCATAAAAGGGGATAAATTACGGGTAATTTATTTATTTTATTATTTTAACAACAAGTCTTTCCATATTTTACCGAAAATAAAGTGTTTTTTATATAAAAATAAGGATATCTCGGTCTTAAAGCGTGAATAATGTCTGAAAAACAGTCAAATATGGTTACTGGAGGCATGCACATGTCACCCCCTTTAACTCCCTTTAATATTAACCTATAATATTCAAACTCGGTCAGATATTTAGGGTCAATGTTCCGAAGAATCGTACCAAAGGAAAGTTTTATAAGTTTATTAGGGGACCAACAAAGGACCAAAATACGTTTTGTTTACTTACCGGAAAAGGGCACTTAAAGCTAAATATTCGCGAGAGCTTCGTGTGAGGCGTGGCGTGGTTGGTAGAGTGCTGCGGACAAGGTAGCCCTGGAGAACCTGGGTTCGAAACCCTGCGGCGATTCGAGATTTTTCATTTTTTTCATTTTTTATTTTATTTCATATTAATTTTTTAATGTGTTTTAGCGTGAATAACGTTTTCTTATTATAAAAATTATTTTTTTTCTTTTGAAAAACAGCAAATAATAGCATAAAAGGGGATAAATTACGGGTAATTTATTTATTTTATTATTTTAACAACAAGTCTTTCCATATTTTACCGAAAATAAAGTGTTTTTTATATAAAAATAAGGATATCTCGGTCTTAAAGCGTGAATAATGTCTGAAAAACAGACAAATATGGTTACTGGAGGCATGCACATGTCACCCCCTTTAACTCCCTTTAATATTAACCTATAATATTCAAACTTGGTCAGATATTTAGTGTCAATGTTCCGAAGAATCGTACCAGAGGAAAGTTTTATAAGTTTAATAGGGGACCAACAAAGGACCAAAATACGTTTTGTTTAATTACCGGAAAAGGGTACTTAAAGCAAAATATTCGCGAAAGCTTCGTGTGAAGCGTGGCGTGGTTGGTAGAGTGTAGGTAAGTTGTAGGAGATCGGGCATATGTCCGAGAGGTCGTAGTTTAGATCCTCGCAGGCCGAAGACTCCCCCGCGTATTAAATAGTAACTGATGTGCATTAAATCTGCCGAATCTCAAAGTCCTTTATGTTTCCATTACAAATTATACCTTTGGTGGTGCAAGCTATGGTTTAAAATTACAAAGCTACGGAGTTGAACATTAGTAGTCGTAAAACCGAAATCGGGTCGGCTGTGCATCGATGGTTATAGAATAAAAATAAAATCCGATCAGTTTAACGAAGACCGATACCGCGCTCCCTCGGTCCCTAAGAAGGCTGATCAAAGTGGTCACCCACCCGTTCACTGACAGCAGACAGTGATGCTTGACTTCGGTGTTTTACTGGGAACTGCGTCTTTGCGTTCAATTCTCTGCGGAGCAAGAAAAAACAGAACAAGTAAGAATAAATTATTTAAACTCAGTCCAAAAAAGAATTAAATGATTGTAAGAAAAAATATTGACAAACTCACAGGACAAAAAGAGATCGTTTAAACAGTTGGTTATGAACAAAATAGCAATTAAGCTTGAAGAAAAAGTTTTCCGAATAATACAATACAATTCAAGGGAATGAATGTCTAAAATTCATGTTAAAAGAAGAACAAAATTTAAACTGAAAAGGTAGGGAAATGTTAGGAAGATTTCAAAAGTTTTTTTGGATATTTTATGGAAACTCTGAATATATTATGATAGATATTATTGACAATTGTATAATCTTTTTACTAAATCGAAAATAGTAGGCAAGTTCAACGAAATGCAAAAAGAAGATAATAAATAATTAGCAGAAAAGAAACAAATTATACAAAACCAATAACCATAATAGTAATATTTATGAGACAAAAGAAATTAACTATATTTTTCGTAAAAATTGATTGGTTAAATAAACATTTAAAATTTTAAAAAAAAAATTATTGTTGCATTTTTTGACAGAATAACCA